TTGTGACGTGGCTGTTGATCGTGTCGAACGGCTGATGTGGCAGGTGAATTTGGCTGCTGATTGTGCTGGACGGCTGACGTGGCTGCTGACGTGGCAGTGCCGATTTGCAGGAATTGGCTAGGAAGACGCGTGACGCGCGTACGGCGCGTCTGTGCGCGTGGGCAGTCCTGGTGGTGGCGCGTGTAGGCGCGTGCGGGCATGCAGGACGTCGGATTTTCGCCGGGTTTTCACCAGTGGATTCCTCTCGTCGTCCTCTTCACGGTGGTATGTTCAAAAACACGTTTTGAGAACTTTGAGTTTTGAGTTTGGATCAAACACCCTCTTTTTCAAGAACTTTCAAGAACAAGCTCTGATACCAGTTGTTAGGAGATCCAAACATTCAAACACACACACGTTTACGTTGTTCGGCAACTTGCCTACTCCACGGAGCTACTGGTTTGTATTAATCAAGCTCAAAAGCAATACAAACAACAAAACAAGGAGGAGGAGAAAAACTTCTTAACTCAACTCAACTCTCACCCTTAGCTCTCTCTCTGTGTTTCTCTCTATCTCGTGGTCTATCTCAGCTATCAATACATCTTCTATTTATAGCTGAGGAGGGAGATGATTGTTCAACAATGGTGGGCAAGTTAGGCACCTACCATTTGACTATAATTTCAACCATGGCTGCCCCCAAACATGGCTGCCACCTACCATGGCTGCCACCGTCCATTTGTGTCCACACACATAACATGGACCTCCCTAAAAGATCTTAGTAAACACAGATCGCTTGACCCATGATTTCTTACGATCTTCCATTATCATAAGCCTCTGCGTTATCAAAGGAATTGACACCATGGTCTCTGCAACAGTGATCTCGCTTCTTTGGCGTTTAGGTGGTTCCCAAAACTTACCCAAGCTCTATATGAGAGCTGGTTCACTTTCAGCCCTGATCTTCCTAGATTCTTCTGTTGTATTTTTTATTTTTTCCTTTTGGCGTGGATTGAAGTGAGAGAGAGGCGTGGAAGTATGGAGGAAGTGAAGTGTGATAGTTGTGTTTAGTGGTTGTTATGGCTGGCTAAGGTAAAGGCTTTTGGTGGTGACTTGGAGGGTGGGGTTGTTGGTGATGGTGTTACAGGAGGTGTAGAAGTGGGAGGGGGGTTGATTATTTTCGTCTAAAGAGAGGGATGAAGCTTTGTATCTGTGAGAGTGGGTCTCACGGTGCTTGCGCGTTAGGGAAGATGATGGAGAGGGTTGTTGGCTTGGGTTGTTACGGGTTAGTACTGCTGATCTAAGGAAAGAAGAAATGGCCGCTGGCGGCTAGTTTTGCTTATTGGGTCTAGTGTTTTTTTTTTTTTTTTTGTGTGTGGGTGATCGAAAAATTCTTGCACAATAGGCCTCTACTATTTATAATTTACAAATATAGGCCTCCACTATTCCTGCACTTCAGAACTGACCAAACATTAAACATTTATAATTTACATCCAATTTTATTACTAAGTAACTGATTGAAGCAAGCTTGAAGGTCTGTAATCATACCATTCAAATACCAACCTGTGACAAGCTATATATGATACGTACTGGCTTCGAGGCCGACATTGAAAACAGCACAACCACATAAATATCAAGAAACTGGATAACAACCATGCATGCAATAAAACACAATATATAATGATCTATGGTAGAGGTTCAAACCATCAAGAAAATGGAATAACCTCTACGCCAGTTATATCTCCCATATTAATCAACTCGACTGAGCTTTTTGTGCCGTGGTGGGCAAGGGACAAGAAACCGTGGCAGAGCTTTCCCGGTTATCTTGAGAATGTTGTATGTAGAACCCATAAATGAGACGTACAGACGGAATTGCATTATTGCAAATACTAAGACAGGAAGGAATGCAGCAATGGAAAGGAGTGATGTTGTCAACTTTTTCTCTGACTGAATGAGTATCAAGAAGTTTTCCAGGAAGAGAGATCCGGAAATCTTGTAGCTCAAATGGAGAGGTCAACAAAGACAGAAATACCACAAGCGAAGTCAAGGAGCTTGCTAAGGAAAGAACATCCGAGACAGTAAAAACCAGAAAATAGGGAGAGTTGATGAAGTTGGGCTTGCTAATTAATTACTTATTTGCTATTTTGATTACCAGAAAGTTGAACATATCGGTTTTTCCATACCGGACCACACGAAAGAGAGCCGTCTCCCCATTGTGGTTGCGCATGCCTAACAATCCGGGGGCTCTCTTCAGAAGTTTATCTGCAATAGCAACAGTATGGTTGCTTGTGGCGGTCTCATGGAGGATTGTGTTTCCTACACCATTTTGGCGAGTCAACTTGTCGAGATGATGGCTAGGCAACTCATCTAGTAAATTTTCTACCAGAGATGCTTCTTTGGCATATGTAGCCATGTGAAGTACTGTATCGTCGTTTACTGTTATTACGTGCAATGCATGATCTTGAATTTTTTGGCAGAGTTCCGCAACTCTCTTCTTGTTTCCTTTCATGAGAGCATAGTACAAGTTTCCGTTTATTTTCTGTTTACGATCGATTTCATTGGTATCAGGAGACATCAAGGGTTCCATGTAGAAGGGAGGGGGTAATTTTTTCCTTGAAAAAAAAAAAATCGCTATGCCAATCCTCAATAATAACCTTCTCCTTTATATCAGAATTCTACTATCATGCAACAGGATGCCGTTAATCTTGACGAGTACACTAACAAAGTATAATATTCTAGCTATCTCTCCTATTCTAAAGCTGTATGCAGAGCTTTTGACTTCATGACTGCATTTGAATTATCAATCATCTTTACTTGTGGTAGAGTTAGAATCTTGCACTTTTCCTTGATTTATTATTGCACAGTTATGATCACTAACTAGCTATATAGTTTTGCTTCATCTGCTAATCGGCACTTTATTGAAAATGAACGTTGCTTTATATATGCCTTTAGCTGGTGCTTCTCCATGTTTAGTGGAATGTGGAATGTGGAATAACCTTTGTGTTGATTCATGGAATTAAATTCCTACTTTGTCACTAATTCTGTTTCATTAGTGCAGTGTCATAAACATTCCCATGTTATGCATGCCAGGCTTACAACTACTTATTTGCTATTTTGATTACCAGAATCAAATAGATATTTTATAGTATGAATGTTTCTGTAAATTTTGTTAAGTTAATCTAGAGAGTTAATGATGAAAAAACGAGAAAGAGAGAACCATTATCTTCTAATATATATATATATATATAAAAGAAGTGATTACTTCTTTTAGTAACTACTTTAAATACTTGTATCAGATCTAACCTAATAACCAACATTAAGCATATGTTAATTAAACACCTGTAGTCATGACCCAAATTCATTAGCAAGAGAGCCAAATGGTGCAGCAGATGGGGAACAGGTATAGCTGACTAAACATGATGATCAGGCATAAGTTGCTCACTGGAAATCAAAATTTTAGGCATTAGTCATCCTGTTTTTGTTTGCAAACATAGAAAGAAGAACCAGATGCAGCACCAGGCCAGGATCAATTCAACTTAAAGGAGCGGCATTGATCAACAATATCACTCTCTGTTGGTTAGTAATAAATCTAAGCTTTATTCTTTGCAAGCTCCCTGCTTGTGTTGCTTCCATCTACGTTTACCTGGATCACCAACAAGGATAGTCTTCACTCATCATAAATTGGTTTAATATGATTATTGAAATCCTTACAATCATCAACAACTCAATAACTTGCTGCACAGTGTTAACAATAATACATATTATCATCCATGTATGGTATTTCATGGAATGTGGGACTCTGAGGTTTGGACTTGACAACATTTTAAACATTTGGACATCATCATACAAGGTTTGGATAGAACAAGTTTAGTTAGAGGAAAGTTTTCGAGCAAATATTTGTAAGTTTTTGATAGTGAGGAAAATAAGATAGCGCGAAGATGCAAACTGGGATAAAAGAGACTGTATAGAGTAACTTTAGGCCAATTTTCCTTGTTGTATATCGTCAGAAAGATTGTTGATCCAAATGCTACCATCATCATAGCCACGGAAAGGAACAGAAATGTGAAGCCTGCCATCAACTTATTGGGAAGAGTATGCTTGAAATCTTTAAATCGAAATGGCGATGAGAGGATGGAGAGAAATGCATGTCACAACTGATGTCAAAGCAAAGGTAAGAGATAGTACGTTCGAGACAGTGAAAACCACAAAGAATCAAGTAGAAGCAACCCTGAAGATCTGGAGTGGCATCGTTAAAGATTACATCATTCTGATGAAGCCACAGACTCCAAACAATACAAGTAAAGAAATTAAAGCTGCATGCAGTTAAAGCAAATCACGCTGAAACAAGAAATCATGAGTGCATGCATA